ATCGAGAAGCCAACAACACTGTTTTTGAAACAAGAAAAAGTTGTGTCTGGTACTAGGTTAATCACAAAGAAATTATAGAAGCGGCATCCCTTTTCAAAGGCAAAAACTTGAGTTTGGCATAGAGCATTCCGCATTTGATGAGGATCTTGTACTTTACGTTGAAGGATATCGGATTCCTTTTCTAAGGCCATTTAGTTAAGTTGGACAGCATGCGATAAAAAGATACTCATCTTCAAATAAAGGTCCTGCCTAGCAATTCTAAAAAAGTTTGAATGTGCATCACATCAAATTGTAAGATTGAATAGCGAAATAGAGGATTCAGGCTCAATTCTCATTCAGAATATCCACATATATATTAAAATTGATTGAATGGCTTTCAAATATGTGATTCTACTAATAACCAATACTTCTCCAGCTTTTCTCTAATTCTTCTTGTCGTTTACAAAAGGGGTAAAAAGAACTACTTGACAAGTATTTTGCATCATACAGTAGTTAGATACATTAAAAATGGCTGATATAGGATAGACAGTACAGATGTGGTACCAACTGGCATGGCAAATTGGAGGTTCTTTACTATGCATTACCTTGAAGAGTACGGCTGTTCCAGCTCCTGAAGCAGCAAGTAAACCTACAGCAATAACTGCATGAGTCCAATGGAAATGAGAGAGATACCCCATTTTCATGCTATTGCTCGGCGTAGCTGATGCAGGCTGCATATTTTGTAATGCAACCTGTGGTGCACTAGTTGATGAAGGCTTCAGCTTCCCATCTGCCATAAAAATATCAGAAGAATAACATGACAAGTATAGGCTCCAAACATTATCAATCTCGAAAATGAATAAAAGGCCAAACACAAATTTCATTTTGAGAACAATATGAATTACCTTCATTTGCAGCAACTGGCTGTGTGCTAGTAACAGTTGGGGTAGGATCCTGTAATTTAGACAAGATCGGTATACATCTTAAGTTTCATGTGGATGTTTCAATTACATTTAAGTCAAAATCAACTGTAAGAGATCTAAAAGTGGCCTACAGGAACTCGACGAAAGGCTTCGTCTATTTCCTCCTTCGTGAGACCCTTTCTCTCGAGAAAAGAACGCCTATACATGATTGGAGATCCCCTAACTTTTGGATGTGAAAGAAACTTCATAGCATTTTGCACTTGATCCTCCCGAATTGGTTCGGAGTTTACAAACACAGAAGTCGGAGAGCTCCCATTTGTAGTCTCAGGCTTGGAATCTTGATGATCTTCAGCTGTTGGTTGTGAAGCTGTTGCTTCATGATATTAAAGTTTGGATTATAATACAGCAGGACTTCTATTTAACTCAAAATTTTAGCACATCACTGTTAAATTTAAAAATTAAGCAATGGGACTTCATAGAGCAAAGCAGAAGAGTGCTGAGTAGATAAGCTTATAAACAATTGGCTGAAGTGCACGGCAACTAGTAGATCTCAACCACGACAGAAGTTCGCAGTAATCAGTTCTCAGAATACAAGAAATTTAGAGCACATTTGGAGTACCACATATTCCAATATCTTGTAATTTTTCTTCGCGCATAACATATGTGCACTTTTGTTTTATCAGCAACATATATGCACTTTCAAGATGCATATTGATGATTGCTGTTAAGAAGTCTGTTACTGCATTTAGTGGTTGAAGAAGATATAGCCCATGAAACCCAACATGTTGAAGTAATGAAAAAGAGAACATGACAACAAAATGTTAATATCAAATGGACATGCTCCGCAACTCAGTTTACCTACATGATAGCAGCTCAAGTAGTTAGGTATTTATGTGTACAGATACCTTCTCTCCAATCAAGAGTCAATTTAGCTTTAAATGCAAGATGGGCTGGAAAAAACAGAAGATCAAAAGGGAACCAATATTTTTGAAGGAACCTCTGAGTTCCACTAGCTCCGTCTGTTTGCACCTTATGTACAGATATTACCCAAAATCTTATGTATATATAATATGCACAATGGAGATGGTTGTTACTTCAGACTGCATAATGTATGCACTGGATAATGAGATAATCAGCTACATGTTGCTCAAAATTCCATGGAGTCTTTGGATTAACAAAACCTCGTTTGAAAGTGTCCTGGAAATTGCATGCTTTCCGTCTATCTCGGAAGTTCATTATTTAACCAAAACAAGACAGTATTCTTGATTTTGATAGGAAAAGCAAAACTACTTTGTCTTTTGTGGCAACTCCAACTATCAACCCATGTGTATGCAGATAGCTAAATTCAGCTAGTTGTAGTTCACTATTTCCCCAGGTGAGAAGAAAATATCTCAAGCAGCATTTTATAATTTCTATAGGATGGGAAAGCTTTCACTTAACAGAGTGTACTGTCCTCAGCTCATATTTTCCTCTCCTAGTAATAAAATGTAATTTAGTACTCCTACTATTGATTCATTCTTGGGCCACAGAATTTGTTGGGTATTTCATACCACTTCATATCTCTTGTTGATAGGATTTGCTGGTGTGGTCTAATCAATAACTGTGTGAAGCCTCATATTGAAAAGTAAATTATCTAGTTAATGAACCTACTACCATCAGAAGACTCGTACTGAAAACAAAATTATCTAGTTATTGAATATGCACAGTATTATATCCAGCTAATTAATATCAAATCAGTCCATTCATTTGAGAAATTAGGTCAATATATTCTTCCATTGGTTGCTAAAGCATTTTTTCAAGAATACAGAAAAAGACCTCATAATTTCACGGATTAGCCCGAACCCAAAATCTTGCAGCTTCTACAACAACATAAGTTCCCCTTTTTAGCAAAAGATTCGTCCAATATTCCAAATTAAACAAATGGTTATTAAATGTAAATACTATCAAGTTACTATTTCATTGCTTAACAAACTAAATATGACAACCACCCATAAAAGAAAAAGAAGCAGAATTACATGCTCTTATCAAGTTAAAGATAAAAAGGCAAAAACACCATAAAGTACAAAAAGATCAATTTTATTTTTATTTTTATTTTTATGGAACAATCTTTATTCAGATAACCAAATGAAAAAGCAGCAAATTCAGTAAAGAATTAAGAATGAAGAGCAATTAAAGGGGTACCTGGATTCTGGTTATTCTCGTCTGATTGAGACGCCATGTTAACCAACTACTGTGAACTGAATTTCAAAGGAAAAAAAAACATAAGTAGCAAATTTAGAGGAGAAAAAGAGGAAACAGCATTTTTGAGAAGTTGTTAATAGGGGTGATGGGCACCGAATTACCTATGATTATTGATGATGATGATAGGATGTCAGAACACACAAGTGGTTTTTGCTCATCTCAAGAAGCAAATATTACGACCTTTTTCTGTTTCATAGTAGCAGACAAAATCTTTGCAGATAACATGACCTCAAGGGCCTCCCTTTATTTTATGTTTTTTTCTTTCTTCTTCTTTTTATTTTTTGCTTCTTTCTAACTCTTGTTAAGTCTGCTCGCAACAACTATATTTAAAAAAAAAAAAAACAGACTATAATTTTCTGGTTCTTACCTGCAAATATATTGGAAGATGTAAAACAATTTCCTACATTTAAAAAATACTAAAACTAGAGAGAGTTAAGAAAACTCAATTGTAATGAAGTGCCAGTGCTAAAGAGTTCTTGGAATATCAGAAGGAATTAATTATGTGATAAATTTGGATTTGGGGTAACAATAACCAGTTACTCATTACAAGGTATGCGTAGATGCTAGATTCAAATGCAGTCAATTTAGGCTAAAGTATTATAATATATTTTTATTATTTTGTACCGGGAAAATTATACTTCTCATAAAGTTTATGTATATATAAAGATGTATCGGAATAATACTTAATTGTATTAATTTATTTTGATTAACTCGAAGAATTGAATACTCTTTATTAACTGCACACATTAATTTACTTTACTGGTAAATGCATAGTGCGTGATGTATGAGTGTTAAATCACGTCATCCGTTCAAATCATACACCAAATAAAAATCTAATTATTTAAGTGAAGAAGGATAGAGGACAAATCCATTATCCATCAAATTTCATGTCACTGTAGAGGGACAAATCCATTATTTATCCAATTTCGTGCACCACTATTCCTCGAAGATTTCTCATTTATATTTCTAGGCTACGAGCTTTTACGCATTATTATACTAGTCTGTTATAATCTTGATTGATGTTGCATATCACCCAATTTTCTTTTTTTCTTTTTTGTCATTGAAAAATTCTAATATCACTAAACACTTTACAGTCATCGTGAAGCTGGTACTGGGCAATACTTTGTGCCTGGTCATTTGGACAAAAGAAAACTGAGTTCGAGATGCTAATCCACGAAAAAATGGGGATAAATTCAAAAATAACCAGATTTACAACTGGCCGTTCAAAAATAGCACAGTTTCAAAAGTAATCAAAATTTAGTCACTTTTTATGTAAAAATAAATCTGAGCGAAAACAATATTCAAAACCCGAAAAATACGCCAGTATATTATACTGGAGTTCCAGCATAAGTATGCTTGAACTCCAGCATATTATACTGGAGTTCCAGGATAAGTATATTGGAACTCCAGCATAATATGATGGAGTTCCAGCATAAGTACACTAGAACTCCAGCATAATATACTGAAGTTCCAGCAAGTATAATTGTCCAGTATAATATACTGGAGTTTGGAGACAGGTGCTCCAGTCTCCAGTATATTATACTGGAGTCAGCAAAGTATATCGGTCCAGCATAATATGCTGGAGTTCATACACTGGTGCACCTAACTCCAGTATATTATGGTGGACCGGTCTCTGTTGCAGCAAAATAGTGGCTATTTTTCATTGACTTCGTAAATACTGGCTATTTTTGAATATCAGTCCGAAAACTGGCTATACCGTGCTATTTTTACAAAAAAATGATATGCTAAATTGTTACTAACTTATATACGGAAATGGAGCGGCCCATGTAAATACATCCCGTAAAAGGAATAATTCATATTGCAAAATTGAGCAGTCACAAATTTAAGTCATATATCTGTTGGATGATGGACAAAAGATTGGTATTGGTATATGAAGAACAAATACAACCATAGACAGTCGTCGAATTATACTCATAAAGTTACACCCTTTGGTTGTACTCTCAGTGCAGTTACATGGGTGAAGGATTGGATGGTCCTCGAGGAAAAAGCTAAATTTTACTTTTGGCTTCACATTATACATGAATTCATTTGGTCAAAGTGCTGAATCGAGTTCAATTTACTCTATCAAGCAGCCTCTCCACCATGATCTTTTGCTGCACTGGTGTCAAGGACTCAGAGTTCATTATTGCATTTGCAACAAGAATGATTGTGGATTGGTGCTCAGCATTTACCTATAGCACAACAAATATCTAAATTGAAAAAAGGAAGCACTAATTGACAATTTGAAATAGATGAACCTGACCAACCGCAACAAAAAAGAGTGAACTAATTTCATACCCACACACGGCCATTTAAACCAACAGCTATCTCAAAAGCTAGCTTCTTTCCCAGACCCTCAAGAACTGGACATGTTGGTGAACTCAGCAACCTAAGAAGAAAATACAAAAAGATGAACATGTAGCTAAGGAATAGCTTAAACCTGAATAGCATGCAACAAGACCTTCACACTTTTGCTTGTCTCTTTTCTGATCAGCACGTTTACAGTATAACCTAAGAAAAGATCTGGGTTGCAAGTTAAAGCCAAAACAGAATCTTACATCCGTGATAAACCAGTTGACGACTCAAACATATAGCCATCCTTGATGAGGCCAAACTCGGCAGCTTTTCCAGAAGCTATATTGAATAAGATAATTATTTGAAAATTAGGAACAAAAGCAGATAGATTATGATATACAAGAACTCATGTTGCAAATTAATTAGGAAGGCACCAACCATCCATGCAAGATAACTCAGGGTTCATTCCAGTGTTGGCCTTGACTACACGGGCATAAATTAGAGTACCTACCTGAAAGAACACAATGACTTATAAGAAAATAGGTCCTGATATACACATGATAAAAAAATGATTAAGACAAATCCTATGGTTTATTCGAATTTAATATGGGGACATGACATTAATTGGTGTTCCGGTAGGCAAATAGTCCTTTTCTTTAATTAGTACAATATCAATTTATTGTTGAAAGAAAGAAAGTCATTCTATTGCACAATAGCAATAAGATGGTGCTGGCATGTTTACAAGCAAAAACTCAGCCTGACAATGATACATGAAAAGCTCTATACTGGATAACTTTTTTTTGTGGAATAATAGTTAGTTCACCTATCAAGTTGTTTTTATTTCCCTTTTCTTATTTTTAGCTCACTGGAGCAATTTCAACCTTTAAGTAGATAAAAAAATTGGACCAAATCTAATTCATGGTTCTGATCAGGCAAACTCACATAAAAATTTCATGTCATATGACTTTCTTTCATGCGATCGAGATTTAATCTAATCATATTTTTTTTGTCCAGGTAATCACAAACTTTACATTGAGGTTAAAAGGTAAATCCAAAACCCAGTGTTATTAAAAGTGATTGCTTCATCGCTTAAAGAGATGCACCAATGTGAAGAGAAGGGTCCTCGCTTGAATTTGACGTCAAGAAAGGGGGGGTGGGGGT